CTAAGCAGCTATACTTATCTCAAGTAAAATGATTCAAGTCAGAGTTGATCTTTACTCTGGCCAGAGTCTACAGCTTTTTCAAAGTTCTTCATTGTCAGGTATCCTCTTAGGGTGGTCCAGGCAGTTTCAAAGGCCAGCTAAAGACAAAGGACTGATGGTTTCCCATTGCTTAAATAGACTTTTCCCCAGAGCAGGAACCAATTGTTCAGCACCCCCCACCTCCTTGGAAAAATACCAGGTTCAAGATGGATTCCAGTACCTGGTAGAACTGGTTACATGTCTTTCTAGGACCAACCACAGTTTGGGGTTATAGGACAAACAAGACTATTCACAGGTGGTTGGTTTGAGTACTGAGTTATTAATAACTGAAGTATCACTAATAGCCCTCATTAGCACATTGAGAACAATAAACAGATCTACACTTCATATTTCTAACTTCATATACAAGAATGATACATGCACAAAAATAGGATATTCATCAGATTGTAACTTAAAAACTGATATGTTACATGAATGTTTTTGCATAAATCATCTTTGGGTTATGTATATTCATATCCATAAGCCAATTTTCATGAAACATGGGAGTCAGTGACACCCAGTTCCCTAGGCAGAAATGGTTTGGGTATTGTTGGCAATGGTATCTTCATATTAAAACATGCTTCCTAGGTAGCAGGGAACTTCACATTAGGTTAACAGTTGGCTGTTTTTTTCAGGTGAGGGCTTTGGCTAGGGGTGTAGGCTCCAGGTTAGGATTGGGGGTGCAAGACGGAGCTCTGGTCTGGGGCTGAGGGATTCAGAATGTGTGAGGGGACTCATGGCTGGGGCAGGAGGTTGGGGTGACAGAGAAGGTGTGCACTCTAAGAGGGAATTTGGATGCGGGAGGGAATTCCGAGCTGGGGAGTAGAAGTGGGCATCGAGATGTGGGTATCAGGAATTACTTTGGTTGCAGGAGGGGGCTTAGGGCTGGGACGGGAGATTGCAGTACATGTAGGGTGACCAGATGTCCTGATTTTGGGGAGTTTTTCTTATATAGGCACCTATTAATCCCATCCCTGTCCTGATTTTTCATGCTGGCTATCTGGTCATTCTAGTTGTGGGAGGGGATGCAGGCTTGGTGAGGGAGTATGGGTATAGGATCGGTCTCCGCGTGAAGAAGGGGGTGAGGGGTGCAGCTCCAGGCAGCGCTTATCTCAGGCGGCTCCTGGGAAGTAGTGGGCATGCACCTCTGGTTCTCAGGCTGCAGTTCCTGGCCAACTGGAGCTGTGGATCTGGCTCTCAGAGTGGAGGAAGTACACAGAAGTAGAGGAAATACTCAGCGGCCAAGAGCTAGAGCAAGGTTCAGCAATTTATGGCTTGTGAGCCATATATGGCTCACTTAGAAGCCAAATATGGCTCGTGCTCAGCCTTCCCTAGCTCACCCACCCCCCCGCAATGGGGACCCCGTGCTGGTGATCCAGCCTCCCCCCACCACAAGATTGGAACCAGCACCAGCTTCCTGGGCCGGGGGCGGGGTTGGAGAAAACCTCAAGCTTTCCTAGATTCCTAGATTTTAAAATAATCTTTTAATCTAGGAAGCATCTCTTGGCTCGGAGGATACGGATGCAGAGATCACAAGTGAGGATATCCAGCTGCACTGGATTGGTGGTGATGTACATTGAGCATGTCGGGGTGGGATGCAGAGGGCGGCTACAATGGCGGCAGAGGATCCGGACTTTGGAGCTGAGGACTGGCTGGATTTCCTGAAGGAGTGGCACGTGCGTTTCCTCCAGCACTGCCTGCAGGTCCTGCCTGAGAGATACAACCCGTAGGCATTGTCCGAGCTGGGGAGGCAATGAGAGTGGGATGCTGCTGCTGCTGATCCCAGGTTGGTGCCATGAGGTGTGTGCGAGGCCGAGGGGGTCTGTTGGAGCTGTCTCAGGGCCCATCCCATCAAGGCATATCAAGGTCGGGTTATGGTCATGGCAGGCTTCCAGACTGGGGATCCTGCCGCTGCTCCATTGGCCAGACACCCACCAGCACCTTGTTCCTGCTCCCTCCCCCCTGGCCAGACACCCACCAGCATCCTGCCTTCCCCTGGCCAGACACCCACCAGAACCCTGCTCCTGCCCTCTCCTTCTGGCCTGACACCCGCCCACACCCTGCTCCTGGACCCAACCTCACACCCGGATGCTGAACCCCCATCTCTATCCCATTCACTGGCAGCTCTATCCCACACTCTGGACTCCTCATTTTTGGCCCCACCCCAGAGTCGAGGGGGCCACTAACCCCGGAACCCCAGAAGAGTTAATCCAGCCTGAGGCCTTGAACCTTATTAGTGAAGCTGTCTGGCTGGGTCCCTTTTCCACCAGCTGTTTTGGCCAAAAAATGGACACGTGGCAAAACCTAGGTGAGTGGGCTTTGGGGTAGGGGGTGCAGTGAAGCAGAGTGGGGAGGAAGGAAGTGCCTTAGGAGAGCCTGGGGGTAAATACAGTAGTCTGATGTAGGAGTGATCTGATGTAGGGTGCAGAGTGCATAGGTCCTTAAGTTGCAGGGAAGGGAGTGAGGAGGCCCAGTGGATGGTGGCTCTGGGGGGTGAGCAGATGCATGGCCCTGGCAGACACAAGGGCTGTGTCTACACTGGGCCACTTATTCCGGAAAATCAGCCACTTTTCCGGAATAAGCTGCGAGCTGTCTACACTGGCCCTTGAATTTCTGGAAAAGCAACGATGCTCTACTGTACAAAATCAGCCGCTATTCGAGTGAGGAGGCCCAGTGGATGGTGGCTCTGGGGGGTGAGCAGATGCATGGCCCTGGCAGACACAAGGGCTGTGTCTACACTGGGCCACTTATTCCGGAAAATCAGCCACTTTTCCGGAATAAGCTGCGAGCTGTCTACACTGGCCCTTGAATTTCTGGAAAAGCAACGATGCTCTACTGTACAAAATCAGCCGCTATTCTGGGAAAACTATTCTGCTCCTGCTCGGGCATAAGTCCTTATTCCGGAACACTGTTCCGGAAAAGGGCCAGTGTAGACAGCCCAGTAGTCTTTTCCGGAAAAAAGCCCCGATCGC